GTGGGCTGTGAGGGTCAGGAAAGAAGCAGAGAGGGGCACGGTGTGAACATCCAGTGCAGATTTACCCCCAAGTGGCCCTGCAACTGGTTGGATTTTCTTTTCTCAGTAACTCCTGGCAGAAGTCCAAGGAGGCCTCCTTTTCCCAAACCCTCTGTCCTTGGCTCAAAAATCCAGCAGAGGACGTGCCACGACCACGAAAGGTGACAGCAGTCAAGGGGAAAGAGGGCTCCCTTACTGGAGTGCACAGATGTTTCCTATTTATTTTGCTTACACGGTTGACTTTTTCCAAAGGCTGCTTGGGATGGCTTTACATCGAAAAGCTTAGCAATAAGGCTAATAGTAAATCAGACAAAAAAAATCATGGACTGGGGGAAAGAAAGTAGCATTTAAACATGTTTAATAAGGATGATATAGTCATGAACATGTGCCTGAGTATCCTGGCTACCACAGTAAAAGGGGAAATACGATTAGTTATGGGAAAAGAGTAAACATACTAATCATGTTTTTTTTTTTTTTCTTGGAGCTTTGTGTAATAGGCACTGAGTGTTGAAAAGGGTAGAGTTATTTACTCCATATTTGTAGAAATTCAGACGATTATCAGATTATTTGCCTCACAAGAACTTTTAAGCAAGCAAAGAGTATGATGCTGTCATGCACCCTGATAAGGGGAAGTGTCGTCCAGTTCTAGGTTTCTGTGAATCTACCTTGATGCAGGTGTTCAGGGAGTAGTGAGTTTCCTTGGTTGTAATGCAGACCAGCGCTTCTCAAACTTAAACATGTATACAATCTCCTAGGGAGTCTTGTTAAAATGCCATTCTAATTTGGGAGCTTTGGGGTAGGCCTGACACTTTGCCATCCTAAAACCCTCCCAGGCCATCACGATCACCACCTTCCGAGCAGCAAGGGGTTAAAGCCCAGGCATCTCCCATGATCTAGTAGTGAGTACCTTTCTAATCTCCCCCAGCTGAAAGGCAATGCAATGTTATGGACGGGCAAGAAGAATCTCTTCCTTGGCTCTGTAAATGCTTCCGGGGTGTGCAGGGTCAGCCTCCTTCCATCCTGGTTGGCAATCTTGGTCTAGTCACAAGCCAAGACCATTGATCATACACAAAAGTTTAAGTACCTACTATGTGCCAGGAAGCTCCCTCAGAAAGACGGTTTGGTCCTGCTCCCTGACCCACCCTCCACCCCGGCATCTTTGATCCACTCTTCCTTCAGCAACTGCCTTTGTCAATGCTCTCTTGAGCCAAAATAAACAAATAAAAAGCAACTTCCTTTCGAACCTTCTCCATACTCCCCTGCTGGCCACAGTTGCATCTCCCTGCAGACACACAGATTCTCATGACACAGAGCTCAGACAGCGCTTCCTCTCTGGAGGGCTCATGTTTCGAGAGAAGACTGAAAGAAGGACAACCTTATGCTCCAGTAGAATTCCACATTCTGGGGTGCAGGGAGATTTGGTGTGTGTATGTGGGGGTGGGTGTCCTAATGCCCCGGAAGCCACTCTTTACAATGCTGTACAATATTGGCTCACCATCATGGGCCATGGAAAGCGGAGTCTGTAAGGTTCAGTCCCAGGCTCCAGCACTCCTTTATCAGCTGGCCTCCCCGCTCAGCGCCCTCTCCCACTACCCGCCCTGCCTCAGCTCTGAGTGCTGCTGATGCGCCTCCACCCATCGAGATGGCAAAGACAATGCCTCCCTTTTACCCTGAATGCAGCCTCACATAGGGAAGCGCTTCCTGTGCCCCAGAACTTTGAGGAGCCCTGCAGCACCTGATCTAGTGGGGAGAGTATCAGTGGGGAGCGGCACCTTTCCTGAGGCCACGGCCCACCATGGCCTGGGCAGGACCAGATCCAAGTGGCCCGGCTCCTGGCAAGGGCTGTCAGAGTGCATTGGGGCACGCAGCTTCCCGTGACCCTCTCGTTTTCATGTAGGATTTATTTTGTGAAGTGGATCTGCTCTGTCCCAGCCTATAAATGCTGGATTAATCCAAGAAGCTGAGGAGGAACAACACCCCTCTCCTTCCTAATCAAATAAGAAATAAATCTAGATTTTCTTCCCGGATACTATTCTCTTCTTAGCCAAACAGCTAGCCTGGTCGTCAAGGAAAAGGGCAATCCCGGGGGCTCTGAACATTGAATATTCAGCAACTCCGGGGGCAGAGACGTCCCTAAGTGCATGAGCAGAGCTCCCCTCTGAATCAGCATCACACCAGCCGGGGGCATACAAAGGAGGACAGCAGAATGGGCAGGAGCTGTGGGGACACTTCCGAGATGCTAAAAGAGGCGAGGAAGGGCGAGGACGGGTGTGCATTCCTGCAACAGGTATTTACTGAGCACCTACTATGGGCCAGGCAGTGCTCTAGCCGTTAGAGATACAGAACTCACTAAACACAAAAATCCCTGCCCAGCAGGAGCTCACATTTCTATGGGAGAAGAAAGTTACTGAAAAACAGTCCAAAAAACTCTATTTGACAGTGTGTTCAAAGGTAATACAGGCTATGGGAAAAAAAAGAAAGAAAGAAAGCAGGTACATGGATGAGGAATGGGGGTGATCGGGGTGGGCCTCACAGAGATGATGACCTTTCAGCAAAGACTTGAGGGAGGTAGGGAGGGCCCCTGGGGATACCTGGGGTCCAGGCAAGGGGAACCGCAAGGGTCAGGATCCTGTCAGATCTATCGGAGGCGGGACTGAGTGTGAGCAGAGAGACGGAGACAGAGGAGGAGAGAAGGCCAATCACACTGGGCCACAGCTATTGCAAGGACTTTACTTTTGCTGGGGGAGGGGGGAGAGTTTTGAGCAGAGGAGAAATGCGATCTGGCAAACATCTTGAAAGCATGGTTCTGACTGCTCTGCCCTTGGCGGAGGACACCAGAGCCTGGCCCATAGAAGGTGCTCAACAAAGCTCAGCACATTGTACTCCTCCCTGGAGTAGGAAGGGGCTTGTCTGCTTTGAGAAATTTGGCCCTCAAGCTTCTGGAAACATCTGACCCTATTCTAGGTGAGACAAGCTCACACTCAAGGCCCCCTTAGTCCAGGGGTCAGTGGACAGAACAAACACCAAAGGTCAACGGCGTGGGTGGTGCCCTCTCTGCCAAGGTGTGTGTGTCCAAGTAGGGCGTTCACCTCCCTCCCTCTCTGTGAGAGATTTCAGACCCCTCTATTTTTTCCAGCAATTCACGTTCCTTTTAAGATAATCCTCGGTAGACCTCTGCCAGCCCAGCCTTCAAATGGTCTCCCTTTCTCTCTCTTACTCATGGAGAGCCCCCCCACCAAAAAAAGTCTCCCTCTCTCTTACTCATGCATGCAGAGCCCCACAAAAAGACACTGGTTCCCAGGGATTCTTCCAAAGATGCTGGAAGACCTCTCAGTGTTTGCGTTTCCCAAGCTCAGTTTTTGTCCCTGGGCATTAAAGGAAGGATATTCAGCCATCCCCGTCAGCAGAAGCAGGCCTCAAAAGAACAGCTACTGTGTGGGGAGCATATTGGGGGCACCAGAGGGGGCTAGCAACTGGGTCTTGTCTTTTCAAAGTTTACAACCCACTGCAGGGGCAACTCACCAGCCCTGGCACCCTAAGGGCAGGAACCTCCATTGGGCACCTGTGTCTCCAGTACTGGGAACACTGTCTGGCACCTGAGGCACCATTAAGTGTTGAATGGATAAAGGACCTGTGAGAATTGCCACAAGAGGCGTTGCCCTGGGGCAAGGTGGGACAGGAAAGTTCTTGCAAGAGAAAGGAGAGGCTCTGGCCTTGGGCCCTGGCTGTGCAGAGAGCTGGGAGGTGGGTATTTGGGCAGGAGGAAAGCTGTGTGGAGGGGGAAGCAAACCGCCTGCGGGTGGGTCTGGGTGGGGGTTGGGGGTGGAGGAAAAGGCCCTCACAGCAGCGCTCCCTCCACAGGGAGACCAGAGCTCTGCCTCTTCCTCCCTACCGTACCCTTTGGGGTCTAGTTGTGGGGCCTTCCCTGAGGCCCAGTTCCTGCCTCTGGCCTCTGGAGGCTTATCTCCCCAACAGAGGCTGGCTCCCCAGAAAACAGGATTCTTAGACTTCCTAAAAATAACCTGAGGCTCCTCATCAGAAGCTAATAGAATATGCCCCTCAGGAATACTCTAGAAAGAGTACCAGGGGTCAGGAACCCCCACTCAGCCTCCACGAATCCGAGCGGAAAAGCCCGGGTCTCCTCACCTGTAAAGAGAATAACAGCAGCCGGCAACTGTGACCACAGGTGAGAAAGGGCTTCGGACCAGGGCGCACACCTCTAGAAAGGCGCCCACAGAGGGCCTCACCGTACTTATGCCCGGCCTCACTGCTGTGCTGTGAAGCCATCGGCACTGGAAGTGCGGAGGGCAGCGAGCAGTGCCCCAGGGGGAGCGGGGGACGGGTAGGGTTTCAGAGCCCAGAAGGCCTAGACAGGGAGGCAGCTCCGGGAGAAAGGCGCCCGCCATCCCACCGGTCTTGGAACCTGAGGACTGCTGGGAAGGGTCAAAAGGGTGGACAAGGGACAGAGATGGACAGGACCACAAAGGCCTGGGTGCAACCTTGTTGAGACGGAAGGGATCCGGACCCAATCTGGCGCCCTGGTCTCTTCCCACCTGCAACCACGGCTGCCACTTGGCCTCCGTTATAAAATGGACAAGGATTCGAGGTGCTCCTCAGGTTAAGAGAGGGAGGCCTACAGGTCACCCTGGCCTCGGTGCCCTCCCTGGCCGGGTTAAGAGGCTGTCCCGGAGTTCTGCTCACTTCAGCCATGTGCGGGGCACTGCAAATCAGGAAGTGTTGGAGCCCGGCTGGGGACCTCCTGCTTGGGGCCAGGGGAGGAGGGTGGTTAGACGCCGCCACCGCTGCCGGGCCTGCAGGACTGGGCGGGGAGCGAGGACCCGGCGGCTCCTGATTGCGGCCCCGGGGGAGGTGGCCGAGCCGGATAAGCTGCGGCGGGCTGGCGGGCGGCCACCTCCCCTGCAGGTCCGGCCCTCCCGGGCGGGTGGGGCGCGCGAGAGGAGGAGCCTCGGGCCGAGCCTCTGCCTTCGCCGCGGACCTTCAGCTGCCGCGGTTGCTCGGAGCGGCTGGCCGCAGAGGTGAGTGACCCCTCCCCCGGTCTCCGCGGGGCTGTGTGCTGCGCCGGGTCCCCGAGACACCCGCCCGGTTGCACCCTGCGCCATCGCCGCGCGGACCTCGGGTGCTGCCACACGTCTGGAGGCGACCCCTCTCCCCTGGGACCGAGCCACGTGCGCCCAGCGGCAGAGAAACCGGGTTCGGGGCCCCCACCCCGCGTGGCTTCCTTTTCTAGGCGCAGAAGCCGCTTGCGCCATGCGAGTTGGGCAGGGCCGGCGGCGACAGTGGCGGGGAGCAGGCTCCGGAGCCCCGGGTGCAGACGTGGGCGCCCCTCCAGGTGACCCCGGCTGAGTCCACAGGTTCCGTGTGCCCCACAGCTGGGGCTCTGGCCAGCGGTCCCAAAGGAGGGCTGGTAGCTGTGGGCGGGATCTTCCAGGCTCTTCCTCGCCAGACCTCCCAGTCCCTTCGTAGCCGGGCAGGGAAGGGGCAGGGGCTGGGCAGGGGCTCCGGACCTCGGTCCCCAGGAGGAGGCTGGTCTGACCAGTGCCCGCCTCTGCCCGCAGAGCTCTTGCCTGGCAAAGTTCCCCTTCCTGCCCGGCAAAGTTCCCCCTCCTGCCCACTTCCCCGAAATTTGGGGACAGGCGGCCCGGAGAGGTGTGGTTGGAACTTTGGTCACTCTGGGTAAATGAAGGGGAGGGTGTGCCCAGATAATATGCCGTTTGGGGACCAGAAAGCCGGATCCGTGGGGAGAAGCAGGAAGGTCCTGCTGGAGCCCTGGCAGAGGGCACGGAGAGGCCTCCCAGGTATCCAGGGCCACCTCAGAGATGGACTCCAGAAGTGTGGGGTTCTGGAAATAGCCCCAGGGAGGTATTTCTGTCCATCAGAGTGCAGCCATAATATAATTAACAGCAGATATTCCCATTTATGTGTGCCAGGCCTCTTGCTAAGGGCTTTGTGCATAATATCCCAGTTAATCCTCACAACAGGAAGGCACCATTATCTCTTGTTAAAAATGGAGAAACAGCCTCAGAGAGTCCACACATTGTGCAAGGATACACAGCTAGCAAGTTGCAGAAGTAGGATTGGAACCCAGAGTTATCTGACTTGGAGCCCAGAGGAACCTACCAGTGGGGTGAAACAGGCTGTGTCCTCAAGAGGATTCTGGTAGCCCCAAGAATACAGTGCTGGGAACCAGAAGGTCCACAAAACCAAAGGGTCTCACGTGAGTGTGTCCCCTCGATCACCTGCAAGCCTTGTTAAAAATATAGATCCCGAAGTCCCATCCAAAGCTGACTGAATCAGCTAGGAGCACCTGGAGGACCCAGACTGTGTCTTACTCATCTGTGTCCCCGGTGGCCTGCAGAGGGGCTGGCAGGGAGCAGGTGCTTAGCCAATGTCTGATGGGTAAGTGGGCGGAGTGGGGTAGATGGTGTCACTAGTGTCCTGAAGGGGCTTAAATGGAGCAGGTGGCCTCAGCCAGGCAATGTGGCAGCAGGTATGGAACTGACACAGTCTAATGCTGGCCTCAGAGCCAGCAGGGAACTCAGGCTGGGCCACTTGTCCACCTGGAAGTTGAACAGTCTGCCCCAGGTTTGCTGAGGTCCCCAGGACCAGGCCAGGTCAAGCTGGGATCACACATGTGCCCTCTCCAGCCTAGAGATGTCAAACAGGTAGATTCCTCTCCCATTCATGTCTCCTATCCTTGGCCCACAGCCCTTCCCTCCTTGGGCTTATCAGAGACCAGGGTGCTGGGCAGGGCTTCACATAGTTAAAAAGTGAAAGTTCTTGAGTGAAGTCCAAAGGCACACACCTGAGAGCTGGGTGGGTAAAGGTCGCTGGCTGAGTGCTGGGGGGAGAGTCTGGCTTTGGAGCCAGATGGATGAGTCCAAATCTCAGCTCCTTACCCCCAACATGAAGCCCTCAGCTCTGTGAACCCCTGTTCATTTGCAAAACCTTGCCAAGGGCTTCAAACAGGATATCCTCATAAAACAAGGATGCCTATCCGGGGGACTAAGTGTGTGAAGTGCTGAATTTTAGGAGTGCAGTAAATATCAGATCCCTCCTTCTTCACCTCAGGTTTACACGTTAACCAGTGAGGGGCCTTCCAGGCCCAGCACTCTTCTAGACCAAACCACTGACTTTCCTAAAGAAGGTAACTGAGGCCCAGAGAGTGGCCTCCAGGTTCTGTACTCTGTGGCAGAGCTGGCCTTGGCTCCAAGCCCCAGGGTTCCCAACTCTGTCTTAGCTGATGCCTCCCAGACTGGCAGTCTACGCTGCCTGCTGCATTCTCTGTCTAGCTGCAAATGAACAACTGAGCGGACTAGGGTGAGGTTCAGGCAGGCTGGGGCAGGGGAAGGAAGCAGGTCATTCGGGGAGTCGGGCTCCCTGGTCTTCCAGCTGAGGCTGGATCTGCTCTTTCCCGTCCACCCACGGTGCATAGTGGCCAGGTCTTCCTGAGCTGGGCAGGCCTGAGCTGAGCAGGTTGAGTACTATGAAACTGCTTTCTAGCATCTAGACCAGGGAGGTGCCTCTCGATTTAAAATGAGGATGTTTACCAGTTTAAGTAGTTATTAGAACCTAAGGCCAAATTGGCGCCTTTCCTCCCTCTAGGGGTTGGAAGGGTGCATGCCTCTTTTTCCGCTCCTACCTCACCCCTGCCAACCCATCCCAACTTGAGAGGCTTTGGAGATCACAGAACTTGGAGAGGAGAGGGGCAGGGGTCGGGGTGAGACTAGGTGGTCTTCAAACATTGGGCTACTGAAGTCCCGCTTCCTCCCATCAGTCTCCTGCAGCTGTGTCCACCCACCTGTCCAACACAGCCTCCCACGGGTCCCGGGCCTCTGTGTGCTCCAACCATCACATCCTTGGCATGCCACACACCACCACCATCTCGCCTGAAATGCCAGTCCTCATCACTGACATTCAACCTCCCATGTGCTGGCTCCCGGGCCAAATACTTTCCCCATAGGAGCTCATTTGTACCTGGAGACTCTTAGGAGGTCGACAGTGTTATTTTCCCAACCACGTGACTTTCCAAGCACATATGGACCCCAACTTCTTTTTTTCCACCCCTATCCTGAGACTCCTAGACACTAACTAACCGCCACATTCTCCTGTCCAAATTCTGCCTCATTGGTTATTCATTCAACAAACACTTACTGAGCACTACCTTTGAGCCAGGCACTCTAAGACCAGCTGAGTCCCACTGCTGGCAGGATGAGTGTTATCATTAATCAACCCACAAACACACATGCCTTCTGCGTACTGGTGAATCTGAGTGAGGAGACGCATGGCGGGGAGGCCCAGGACCTATTGCTCATGTGAATGAGCCAGGATGCAAAGCCAGAGACACCCCCTCCCCTCACCCACTGAGCCAGAGGGATCAACCTCTGTGCCTGTGGTGAGGGCTGACAGGCGACTGCTCGTGGCTAAGAAACTCTTACGTTGTCATTTCAACCCAGGGGCAGAGTGTGCTCCTCTTCAGGTGTGGCCTGGCCTCATGAGCACTCCTCCGAATGGGCCAGGCGTTGGTTGCTTCAGCGCTGTAAGAACACTGTTGGCCGGGTGCGGTGGCTCACGCCTGTAATCCCAGCACTTTGGGAGGCCAAGACAGGCGGATCACGAGGTCAAGAGATCGAGACCATCCTGGCTAACACGGTGAAACCCCTTCTCTACTAAAAAATGCAAAAAACTAGCCGGGCGAGGTGGCGGGAGCCTGTAGTCCCAGCTACTTGGGAGGCTGAGGCAGGAGAATGGTGTAAACCCAGGAGGCGGAGCTTGCAGTGAGCCGAGATCCGGCCACTGCACTCCAGCCTGGGCGACAGAGTGAGACTCCGTCTCAAAAAAAAAAAAAAAGAAAAAGAAAACACTGTCACTGGAGAATTGTTTGATACTCAACTCTTCCCAGTCAGTCTGTCTTCTGCATGCCCACAGTTACCGGGCAGCGCAGGCAACAGGTGAGCACTGATTGTTCCGCAATCAGGCAGTGACTTCCTCCATCTCCGCCTTCTGCTTAATGAGAGCCAGGTGGGAGTTCAGCAAACATCGCTTGTGTAAGCCTTCTTTTTAAAGGTGTAAAAAAAATACTGCCCCAAGATTATAAAGCCGACTTTGGTACATGTAAAGAGATTTGGGGTTGGTGAATGGGCCCACTAAGCTTTATTTGGTGGTGTCAGCTGTCTCGGGTCATGTGTAGACAGCAGGGCCCCCAGAACTGCCATGCTGGGGTCTGCGAGTGAACAAGCTTCCCATTTCTTTTATGTATGTATGTATGTATGTATTTATTTATTTTGAGACAGACTCTTGCTCTGTCGCCCAGGCTGGAGTACAGTGGTGTCATCTCGGCTCACTGCAAACTCTGCCTCCTCATTTCAAGCAATTCTCCTGCCTCAGCCTCCCGAGCAGCTGGGATTACAGGTGTGCTCCACCACGCCCGGCTAATTTTTGTATTATTAGTAGAGACGGGGTTTTGCCAGTTTGGCCAGGCTGGTTTTGAACTCCTGACCTCAGGTGATCCACCTGCCTCGGCCTCCCAAACTGCTGGGATTGTAGGTGTGAGCCACCATGCCCGGCTGCTTCCCATTTCTATAAGCATCCAACTGGTGGGGTGGCCAGCAGGCTATGGCGAGTGGTGCCTGATTTTCCCAGTGGGCTTGAGAGGGTAACGGTACACTCCCTGTCAGGGCGAGGGTCTCTCTGAAGGTGAACTCTGGGTACACAGCTAGAGGATACAGTGGCTGTGAGCTGGGCCCTCCGGGTGAGGTCTGGCCTGCATATTGCCACAGTGGGCTTGCTGGCATCCAAGGGGGCTTTCTGGGTGACCATCCAGGCCTGCACGAGGGTCAGTAGCACACTGAATGCAGTGGAGTTTGAGAGGACCCACCATTGGCCGTCAAATCGCCCCAACCTGGGTGTAAGGCCAGAGCAGCTGTGGGAAGTGACGCCGGGCCCTCTGGAGATGACCCTCTGGCCCTTGGAAATGTCTCTGGACTGGCCAGAAAGAAGGTGGTACCTGGAACTGGAA